CAATTTCTCTCAATAAAAAATTCCACTAGGTTACAATGGCCCCCCATCGCTGAGTACAGTAATGCAGTGTTATTGCTATTGTCTGGTTGATCAGGAGGAACGTGACACGTGTCTACTAGATATTGTACTATAGATAAGTGGCCTTTATAAGATGCCATATACACTATTATCATCACCTTCATTAGGATCAATACCATATTGATGGATGAGTAGTTGAACGATCTCAATGTGTCCACCATATGATGCAGAGTGTAACGGAGTCCAACCATGAAGACCACGATGATATGTGCTGTAGCCAAACTTGTTAAGAAGCCATTGTACTTCATCTTTCAATCCTCTCCAAGCTGCTTCATGTAATGGTGTGCTGGTATTTTCATACCATAATGGATCACGTATACCTATTAAAAATAAAATCAAAAAATAAATTTTATTAATCTTAATGTTAATGTGAATTTACAAAAGATTTAAACTAATTTACCAATATTAATAGATGAATGCTGCATAAAACCTTGTGTATATACTGATAACTATCAAAATAATGATGTCAATTTCATATAACAATTACTATATCTAACCTTATTATAATGATATTCACCACATTATGTTCAGTGACACCAATACTAGCTAACTGTTGCTGTAGCTTTGTAGTTAGAGGAAATAATAAACAATAAATGTAATCAGAAATGAGGTAACCCAAACAAAGAGAACTTAGGTGAACAGATCTGAAGTAAAGATCATACTCAGGAATATCCAAACCTTTTGGTATTGCTCTACGAAAGAAGAATATGTCATCCAGTGTGTAGTCATCTCTGTCAACTTTAGCAATCATTACTCGTGTACCAGGAGGAACACCTTTTACACCAAACTGTACAGCATCAGCATCTTTCAATAGTCCACCACTGTTTATAAAATAATCCTTTAGCTTCTCTTCATATTCTGACCAAATTCTCTTTAATGAACGATTGTCAGGTAGAAGTACTGTAACAAGTTTTATCATTAGTTTATAGTTGAACCATGACATGTATTTGTGCTGCAATATGGTAAATAAATCTGATATTGTTTTAATATGCTCAAACTCTTCTTTAACTGCTTGAGCAATTTCTTCAGCAGTTTTTCGTTGTTTCCTGTTAGGACCAAGTAATGACATTGTGTGTGTAATGAGGTAGTCAATGATTTCAGGTAGATCACTTGATTTGAAGGATTTTTTTGTTAGTCGAATTGCCTCATCAAATTCCTCTTCTAGATCATGCAATTTGCTTGCTAAGAGGAAATTCTCACCAGAAAGACCACCAGTGCCTAAAACATAAGTATAATAACTATTATGGCGTGACATAAGGAAAATAGCCACGGGAGCTAGGGTATAACAAAAAAATTGTTGAATTTTGGTCTATTTTGATATGATAAAGATATATTACCTGTTATTCTGTCAGTGCCAGTAGATTTTGTTGGTGACATAGCTACATCATCAGTTTCGATCAGGAGTGACACTCTTTTCTGAAAATGTAGATTATAATAAAATAGCAAAATAATATCAAATAGAAAAAGTACTACCGATAGCATTGTTATCAAAAAACTGTACATGCTATCCAAAATGCTAAATATTGTATATGCATAGTAGTATCACACAGCCAGATGTCAAAAGGACAGGCCGGAGTCTGGCTACATGAAACTACATGCATAGGTAGCGCAATGCTAGCTTTTGTGTGTAAAATTTTTATGAGCATTAGCAAATCAAATTTACATGCTATACATTGATATCAATTAAATGGTTATGAAACTTTTTATGGTGTCAAAAATTAAAAGTAGCTAAACTGAGGTGTATAATCACAAAATTGAATAATGACATTCACTACTGAGACTAAAATTTGTATGTAATGATATTCATGTACTATATCAGTAGTTCTGTTTATGCACATGACTTCCACTATGCAAGCAGTAGGCTAAATACCAAAAAAGGTGATAATCCCATTAATTCTTGCTAAAGGGTTATATAGCCCTTACAGTATGTCAACATTCAACTAATATATGTACCTTTTGAACTAGTTGATCCTGCAGGTGGCATAGCTGGTAGAGGATGTTCACGAGCTATTTCATCAGCTAATGCTGGATCACCTCCTCCTTCTTTGACAGCTACACACACTCTCCTCCAGCAAGGAATACCATTAGTCTTGTAATCATAATCTTTCTTTAACCAGTATTCAAAAACTTTACGTAGACATGAAAGATCTTTCCCACTAAAGTTAGCTTCAATGCTGTTGATAGTATCTATTCTGAGACGCAATGAAATAGCAATCTGTTCCCAATGAGCTGAGAGTGGTCTGACTTTATCATAAACAGGATAGAAATCATTGATAGCTATCATTAAAGCAAAAGGGTTATAATAACTCTTAGAAATTAAAAATATTAAAACATCTCATGTAAACTTCATTAAATGTCAAATATATCCACAAACTCACTTAGTTCTTTATTGCAAATGTTTATAAAAGGAGCAGAGGAAGAACTAGGGCTTGTGCTTGTAGCCATTGTAAAATGCATACATCCAAGCAAAAGTGATTACCTGGGCGTCGCTCACAGGCTCAAGAAAGCTTCTCTCCATCTCTTAATCTCTTAATAGAACATCATCAAAGAGTTAGCTATTGACTCCTGGACTGTTTGATTTATTAAATAAAGGAGTAAAGACCCTACACACTGGAGTAAAGACATATATAATGTAATGTTGCTAATGTATCACTGCTCAGCCTTGGGTAATTAATTGGGTTAAAATTAGATTAGAAATTTAATGAAATGTCTACTTTTAATGCCAAAAATTTTCTGGGGATTAAAAAATAATTTATTGAGTTAGACGTAAGGTGGGAATCATAAATTATGTGAATTTTTATGTATAATTATTTTATTAACGAAACTTAAACTGAATCGAAACAATTTTTAAAATTACTGGGAAATTATTTTAAAATTATTTATAAACCTCAGTGAGCCACATATTCCTTTTATTTATATTGTCTGCTCTCCCTCTATCATCTCTCATTAGTATATATACTCCAGTAGTTCTGAATCAAGTGATGGATCAGATGATCATAAGACTAATGATGATGAAGGGTCTCTGGATGAGAATGATTTGGGTTCTCTTTCTCACTAGCATATCCAAGAGGGAGCTGAGGGGGCTTGAGCACCCCCCTCATGACTGGGCTGAGAAAAAATTACTCAAATCCTGGACTCTTGCATCACTACCAAGCCTCTTAACAAAGTTATCTAACCCCTGATCATGATTTCAGCAGTTTCCAGTGCTTTAAGGAGCAATCAGAAGTCGTCAGAAGTACCAGTATGCTTCGAGGTACATGTATGCTTGAAATTATCTTCACCACACCCGTAATTCACGAAAATGAAGGAAAACGCTGTTTTACCGCCATAAAAAGGGTACGGTCTCAAATGCGGACCGGACGGACCCGCCCGGACCAAAAATTTTGTAGACTAAAAAAATTTTGGTAGGGTCTCAAAAGCGGACGGACGGACGGACCCGCTCCGCCCGAAAAGGACGGACGGACGGACTGATGCGGACCCGACAGGACCATAAATATCCATGTAAAGGACAATCATTCGTGGATGTTAGCGAAAATGTAACTTTATCAATGCAAAATTGCTACTACAGGCTGCATAAAGCATCACAATACTGAACCATCACTTGAATTCTATTTGTCATTCTTAACTTAGGAGTTCAGTGACACCATTTTAATGATTTTTCTATATTATTTGGTGTAAGTCTAATAATAAACATAGTGAAATTTTATGATTAATTTTTATCAGCTATTGCATGCAACACTATACTGAGATACTGATTTCATTTAATTACACAATTAAAATTATAATAGTTCGATATCCTTGAAATCA